TAAGACACAAATAGTCCACAAAGCCAACGGGATTAGCATAACAGTTCTGGGAATCAGGCCTAGAGTGGTGCACCTGAGTTAATTGCTTCTATTTTCAGTTATTAGCAGGCAAATGAAGCTCTTGCCTGTGAATAAATGACAGTTAAAGTAGGTAAAGATCAGAAGGGAACTATCTCCTGCAAGTTGCTCTTAGTGTAAAAGTAACTTGGAAAATAAGCTTTAAATTGTTTCTGTGGCTTAGCTTGTCAACACTAAGGAGACACTATATAAATGAGATGGCCGACAGAATTCTTTGGGAGGATGACTTTCCTCATGCTTTGGCAGTTGGTTATGACACTAACCGAGACAAATGGGGTCTACTTTGGAAAGATTATTAGGAATGTGTTTGCTATGTGAATAACCAGAGCAAGGGCTATTTTGGACAGATTATTGGGAATGCATTTATTATGTGAACACACAGAGCAGATATATATTTGGCTTATTAACTTAGTGAATTACTTTTTCCAGGACTGTTCTATAAATAATATTCTTCTCTTTTGATTAGATGATGGACTATCTGCTTCAAGTTGTGAATATGAAAGAGAGCACTCCAAGCTGAAAGAAGGTCTCTAAATCATGAAGAAATGGAATACTTTCCATAAGAGACTATATTTCGCAAGCACTTGATTGTATCAGATAATCAACAAGGTCTCTTTTCTGTAAACAAGATTTCCTTGGTGTAAAATACCTAAATACACATATTCTTGTATGTTCAGCAGTGACTAAACTCTTTACTTCAAGGCTGCATTTTCTCACTTTAATGGCTTTGATACATTTACTTGTCATGGATGAGTCTTCCAATTAATGATATGACTTATCTAATCAGTTCATCTCTTAGTTCGAAACTAGATGACATTTCCACATTAGCAATAAATACTACTACTAAAAAGGCTGACTTTATACTCTCATTTAATAAAATGGAAATTGGCTGTGCCACAGCTAGTAACAAAGAAACAACAGAATTATTCATTCCCACTGAAGCTCTTCTCCTCTTGAATTGCTCCCTGCTCTGTAGGTTTTTGTCATTTGAGGGGAGCTGACACAGCTTTCCCAAGGTATGGAGTGTGTGGTGCACCTCCACATGCAGGCATCAGGGAGATCTGCTGGAAGACACACTGTCTCCTCGTCTGACTGGAGTTGGTGTGGTAGCACAGCATCCCCACTACACACCCCTAGCCATGTGTTAGCAGATGCAGTGCCACTGTACATCCCCGTGAAACTGTAGGAAGAGTGTTACCTCCCAGGAGAAGAGGCTCAGCATGGAGCAGAAGCAGGGCTGGATAAAGAGGTGCTCAGCACAGGTGAGGGCACCCCTGCAGTGTTGGGCCCAGTTCTGAGCATCCCGGTACAATGAGTAGGTGGACAAAGTGAAGAGAGTGCAATAAAGGGCTACAAAAGGAGCTTTTCCATTTCTCCTAGAAGGGATGGCTGTGGCTTTGGGTGGACCAGGTGGCCTTTGAGGTCTTTTCCAGCCTGTATTCCATGATTCTACGGTTCTATGAGCTGTTCAGCCTGGACAGGACAAGGCTCAGGGGGTCTTATACAGAGGGTATAAAGGAGAGAGGGACAGGCTCTTTCCAGTGACACCAGTGCCAGGACAAGGGGCAGTGGGCACCTCTGAACATCAAGAAACACTTTGTCACTATGAAGGTGACGGTGGAGTCTCCTTCTTTGGAGCTATTCACAAGCCACCTAGACACGGTCCTGGGTGACCCTGCTCGAGCAGGGGTTTCACACGATGATCTCCAA